CGCGCGCTCACCCTCGCGCTCGCCCCGGCCGCCCCGCTCGCCCCGCGCTCGCGCCGCTGTACGACCTCCGTGCGCTCGAGTCGCTCCGCGTGGACGCGCCGATCGCCTCTCGGGACGCGGACGCGGCGCTCGTGCTCGCGGACGCGGACGTCGGGCGCATGGCCCGCGCGTGCCCGCGCTCGTGCACCTCCGCCTCTGCGAGCAGCTCGCGCCCGCGTCCGAGCGCGCGCCGTCGGTGCTCGCGCTCGTCGGCTCGCGGAGCACTGCCGCGCGCTTGAGGCCGCGCTTGTCAACGTCGCGGACGTGTCCGAGGCGGAGATTGCGCTACTGGAGGAGCGTGCCGGGGGCGGGGGCAGCGGCAACTGGTGCAGTGGCGCTTGGCGGGGGCGCGGTGGGCGGAGAGGTTGAAGGTGGCGGACGCGGGGCGGCTGGCGCGCGCGGTGAGCGCACTGTTTCCGGCGCTGGAGGGCGACGGGGTGTTGTGCGCCTGGGAGCGGAGGGAGACACGGTACGAGAACCTGCCGACGTGGCGGGGCGCGACGCGGAACACGGCGGCGTATGCGTTTCTGCTGGAGCTGGACAGGATCCAGGCGGGGAGGAGGAGCGGCCGCGTGCGATCCTGACGACACCCCTATCCCCATCGTTTGTCCCGTCCCCCGACACTTTCAGCTATAGCCCACGAGCCGCTCGCACCAGGCTCCCCGGGTTCGCGTCGGTAGATGACCGTCCAGGTGTGCGTTGAATCCGCTCGTGGAAAACGCGGTGGTGGGCGCTGAGAGCCGCGGTCTGGAAGATAAGTGACGGGAGAAGTGGGGATGCACGATGCCGTGACAGCCACAAACTTGACGTTCGGGGCATTTGGAGAACTGGGCGATGACGAGTGAACAGTCGTCAGCGTACCCGTTCGAAGACGCTCACCATACTGTGTCAATGATGGACTTCGCAAAACGAGGCGATATTAGGCCTTGCACCCGTATGGCGGTGACGTCTCCGACTTCAGACCGTTCAGGTGGCGTGTACACCGCGATGTAGGGATCGCATCGGTCCACGGAGGACAACCTGTGATCGTGTTCAACATCTACACAAAGCACATATATGGATGAACGTTTGAACACTCACCTTTCCGACCCGATGCTAGCCAAACCGACCCATTCAAACAACGTCGACATCCGATCTTCGAAGGCCCCGTTGCTTTCGTCTTCTTCCGCTCCCAGTTGAGCGAAACCATGGTCTATCACGGGAAGATGTTTGCTGTGATGCTTCCGTACCACGGTCTTCACATCGCAACCAGCGCTCCCCTGTAGGGGTGACGCTCCCTCTGCTGCACAAAGGGCACAGTTCAGCGTCACGCCAAGAAGCACAGACGTCGACGTACCCTCCAGAAAATAATAAGCAATGTTCCACGGAGCTCGTCGTTGATCCCATTTCTCCAAAGCCGCCAGTTCTTTCGAACCGCAGAGAGTTACATCTCGTTTGGCAGAGTCCGCCTCGCGAAGAGAGAGTCGTATGACTGTTGCGCTGGAGTATGAGCATGGCGCTTGCTTGACAAGGAGAGGCGTGGCTCACGGTGGACGTCTTCGCAGTCCTTCCACGGCATACGCTTGCCGACGATGCCGAGGGTTTCAACTTGACGTTCGGGGCACTCGCGTGAATAGTCGTCGGCTCACCCAGTTGAAGACGCTCTTACCGGTGAGCGTCGTGGCAAGACAAGGAAAGTACCGCAGATAAAGCTGGGGATGGGGAGCATGATTGGTGCGCAGAGCGTCTTGCATGATTGGTGTGTAGAGCGTCTTACATGGTGAGCGTGTAGAGTGTCTTTCATGGTTGGTGTGCAGAGCGGGTGATTGGTGTGTAGAGCGTCCGGTTCGTCACTCGTGCACAGTGTCGCAATTACAGTCGATTCGTCTTGGGCGAACACCCCACGCATTATGTTTGCTCTAAAGTAACGCCATCGACATTTTCTAGTTCAACCCACTAAGCCGCAAGTCCAGCCGCCGACGCTTCGCAGCAACCGTCCACTGCGGACGTCGCCAAGTCCTCTCCATCGACCGTGCCGCCACTATCGGCGTCAGCTCCTCGTCCTCGTCCGACGTGAACTCGTCTATCGGATCGTCCGACAGCTCGTTCCCGTAGCTCTGCCATCGCTTCCGCTTCAAGTACACCGCCCACCGCACTTCAGCGTCCACCTCCGCCTCCATCTCGGGTGTCACCACTGCCTGCGACGGCCGTGGCTGCGGAAGGTACCCTGCCCCCGTCACCGGGCGGTAGTGCCTCTCTCCGACGTCGCTGCGCTGTGCACGGTTCCGGAAACCGCGGTTCAGACGGCCGGGAACCGCAGACATCGGGTTGGCCTCCGCTGCAGCCTTGTGTTCGTCCGTGGCCGGAACGAAGCGCATCTCGCCCTGTGTCCACGCGTGCGCGAGGCGTTCCAGGTTCTTCATGCCCCCCACGTTGCTCAGGTTGCAGAACGGGATGTCCGCCGGCCAACCCTCAAGGACCAGGTGGCATCGCTTGAAGACCTGCTTCAGGAAGTCGTCCACTGTGTACCGCATCGTGGCACCGGGCGTGTTCGACTTTGTCGCTGCCGTGCGGGGTCGCTTCAACACACAATCACAGCGCACATAAAGAGAACGGTGCTCACCCACGCTCTCGTTCATCTCCGCTCTCAGCCAGGCACGCACCTTGAACTGCCTTCTGGCATAGGTTACGATCCGGCCGGGACCGCTGGCCGTCTTGCTTTGAATGCCCGACATCGCAACGTGAGCCTGTCCGGGGTCAGTAAATGGAGCTCGTCGTATCTGGTGTACGTACCAGGAGGGAGCAGCAGCGAGTCGGGGTGGAAGCAGAGGCGGGAGCGAGAGAGGCCGTGTCTCGCTGAGTGCATTATCTGGTTCATTAACCATGTCACGCGTATACTGGCGCCATGCCGCACCCGATCCTATCAACGATCCGTCGCCGCTTGCTTGACGGAGCGCCGTATGCCAGACAAGTGAACATCTCGCGTGCAACCCGGTACCAACAGCTTGTGCACTTACTCTCGCCCACGGAGTTCCATGCACACTTGACAGGCTGATGCGCGGATCGGCGCCCACAGCCGCTCCGCAAAATATCTCCTGCACATGGTACCAGGCATTTGCCTGTACCAGGACCTTGTTAGAGAAAAAGAAACTCTGTGCTGAGCACTACACACACGCACCCGCTCGCTCGCTTCGGGATTGGTGGTAACGTCCGCCAGAACCCTCCGTCTCGGGGGCCGCGGCAGCGCACTCTGAAACACCGGTGACCATGGTGAGCACTGCGCCAGGGCTTACAGAAAGAACGCTTACTGGGGCCACAGCATCGGGTCTGTGGTGCACGCATACATGGATGCGATCTTGAAGCGGACTAGTCCGCGTCCTTTGGTTCATGCTGAGCACATCCGGACGACACGGTATGGAAGCGGTACCCTTGTACCGCCATGGCACATTGTTCGCACTGACAGTGGCCCCGGAGGGCCGGTAAACGGTGTCGTGATCCGCCCTTGGCAAGTGATCAGTAACTCCGTCCTTTGTCCACAGCAAAAACATATGACTTGCTCTATAATCGGGTGCGCACGGCGACCCACTGATGGAGCGACCTGCTTCCGTTGTGCGTGGTTGACGGCGTTCCCACACGCTCGCATGCCATGTTCAGATTACACGGTGGTACGTCCCTGCGGCACACGACCCGCACGGAGAGGAGCTCGTCAGCAAGCAATTATCGACCCGGTATGCGTCATGATCATGATGATGGGCCACTCACAGAACGACAACCCATCGTGCGTGGACAGCGAGCGTACCGAGCCGGCCGGGTGCTCCACGGCGGTGTTTGAGCAGGACGAGGCGGGCCCAGAGACCGAAGCTTCCCCGCGCTGTGGCGAATTAGATGAGTGCACTGTTCCGTCCTCCTTTCACTGTAACATGCGCCCACACGGCTAGCAGAGGCGCGGGACTCGGGGCCAACAATGTGCCATAGAGCGAAAACCACACCCGGTACGTCTGCGCGCGAGGGCTGTACCAGTGGCTCTACAGCATGCACATCGAAAATAGAACGCACACGACTGGAGCCGTGGCGTCGGGCCACCGGCGGATCGCGGCGGATGCGGCGGTCGCAGACACTCAGACGGCGCGGCCCTGCACGCACGCTGCCCCATTCATTTGCGGCGGGCGTGGTTCTGTAGGAATTTCGCAAAGCCCGGTACGTGAAGCCTGCGCTGCATCGACAACGAGAGGTTCTCCACTGCAAGAGAAGCCGTCCACGATAGTCAGCACCGAGCGAAAGAATCACTGCGACGACGTACGCGTTCTTGAGCGCAGCGCTGCAGACGAGAGCAGCAGCGAGACAAGGCACGCTCAGAATGAGCCGCTCGCATCGCTTCGCATGCGACTGGGAGGGGCACACTGCTGCATTCGATATGCGCAGTGCCGGTACACGACCCTGCACGGACCGGGACGGCGCATCAGCCAGCAATTAGTACCAGCCTGGTACGCGCGATGATGGGGAACTCACAGAGACAGCGACATTCTGACGCGGCGCCTCAGAGATGACGGCCGTCGCGTGTGTCCAGGTATTTCGTCCGCGACGATGTGGCAGAATGCCATGGACCTATGCATCGGAAAACCTGCCCTGGGCCGTGCGAGTCGTTCGTCGCCATCGGAGCAGTGCTCAGCGAGCACACTGCGCTCGATATTGTGACAATACGCGTCCGTACTCGTGATACGGACGGCATCTTCTCCGGGGAACCCTTGGAGTGCCAGACACAGCGGCGCTGAGGCGACAGCGAGAACATCGTGGTGGGTCCCTCTAGTGCACACTTGAACGACATTGGACAAGCCTGACGGGCACGAGAGGTCGCCGGGCGCCGAGGCCGCAGCTGTGGACACAGTGTCAGTGCAGCCAAACGGGAGAGGTAATTTAATCTCACTGTTAGGCGCAACGTAACCGCGCTCCGATCTTGTTTGAACGCTGCATGGATCGAGCACCGGCGTACCGGGAAAGTGGCAAAGGGCGGGCCTAGGCAAAAAACGGACGTCGGCACCGGACGGCGGCGCCAGCTTATGCTTGTACACATCCGCATCCACCTTCCATTTGCGGTTATCTGCCGAGAGCCGGCAGATGAGGCATGGGGTGAAACGCAAACCAGGCAAGCAGGATGAAGCCGACGCCGGCCGAGGGCGCAGTAGCCGGACTCCGTGTGGAAGATGTGTTTGAACTCGTAGAGAGTCATCGTGTGGTTCATTCTGCTGTCAGGCGCGGGTGCAAGAGGTTGGGAAGCACGGAGAGGAAGCACAGTGAGGGCGGAGGACGTACCGAGATTGAACCCCGGTACCGTATCCTTGGACATGTTGAACCAGTCCGGGGTCCGTACTGGGTTTCCGCTACGCGGTGCTTAGTCCGGACTCGGTCAAACGTGTTACCCCTCCGATCCTGATGTCCGCGACTATCACCGCACGCCGTGCTCGACGGTGGTGGACTGTGCCGCGTTCGATGAGAAGAAGCGGGTATTGAATGCATGGCGGGGCACCGCAGCTTGTCGGAGCGTGAGGCTTCTATTACTTGAAGCCCATAGTGCAGGTCGCTTCAAGAACCTCTGTGAGAGCGATGATACGCTGGCTCGGAGGTCTGAGGACCAGTGGATAGCACTCGCGCAGTGCGCGTGTACCCCAGCGAGGGGGCGCAACGTGGGTGCTGGTTTCAGGAAAGTTAGTGCGGAAAAGCGGTCAAACGGAACGAAATCACACATGAAAATCGAAAACGAGAGCTCGACATGGCGTTGCGAAAGCCACCATTGTTGGACACACGTTCGACGGTGTTGGTGGACTCAATGTCCGCGCGGCGACATCGCACGCAGCCAGCCGTCGAGGCGGGACTCCACTGTTGTATCCCCGCTGGCTGCACTGCACGCACGGCGTGAAGGGCGAGCAAGGTTAGATGAACGCCGATGATGGAGGCGACTGTAGGCGCACCACGAAACGTCCCAATTCCCAGTTACGTGTTGTCGCAGGGCACCGGTATCCCGGGTCGCGTCAGGATCTTGATGTGACAAAACCGCACGTTCTGCGGCAGAGGGCCTGATGATCGCCGCGGAGGTGTTCAGTTTGAGCGCGTTTGTGCAATGGAGAAGCGGGCCGCGGCCGCCGAGACTGCGGCCTCCAAGCCGTCTCCCGGAGAGTGTTAGGGGTGGAGGACAGCTGGCTGGGATCGTGAACGGCCCGCGGACACTGGGTCGTAGCCGGAATATGGGTCAGCACGGATTCTGGTCGATGCAGGGTCGGACTCTGCGTACCGACCCACGCTGGCGAGCCCCAAGGCGGGGATGACACGGCCAGCGGGGCTGGCTCACGGACGAGGAGAGACCGACCAGCAGAGCAACTGGTCTTGCTGCATGTGCGCATACAGTCAGTTGGATCTCTGGTACCATGCTGGCGTCGCGCGTGTGTGGGAGCTGCTCGCGAGTATTCGGTTCGTCTACAGAGGACTTCCCCGCCAAGCTGTGAGTATAATTGAATGACGGTGCAGAGTGCCACAGGGACGTACCATCGTGCGATTTGAACGCATGCGAGCGTGCGGGAACGCCGCCGACCGTGTAAGCGGGTCAGTCCGTCTGCGGACCGCCTTGCGCACACAACCTGCACGGACCCGGCCGGACCTCATCAGCAAGCAATTATCGGGTCGGTATGTGTCATGATGAGACACTCACGGAGACGGCGGCAACGAGATATCATTGCCGTGCGCAAACAGACGCACCGAGCCAGGGGTGTCCCGCGGTGGCGTTCGGACTGGACGAGGTGGCCTTGGGCACCGTGACGCAAGAGTGAATTGCGGGCGTCGGGGTGTGTTAGACGAGTGCACCGTCGAATGGTTTGTGGAACGGTCGGTTAGGCTGGTGCGCCCGCACGTCTGGCAGAGGAACACATAGTGTGTCACTCGGAGCCTGAGACACACCATAGAGCGAACGTAGACCCGGTACGTCTGCGCTCAAGGGCTATACGTGTGGCTCCGCGGCGTGCACGTCGAGAGCCGAACGCACACGACCGGAGCCGTGACGTCGGCCCACTAGGTCGTGGCGCTGCGCTGTGAAGCGGTGGCCAATCCAGTCGCCGACACTCGGACGGCGCAGCCCCGCACACGCGCTGCCCTGTACGTTTGCGGCGAGATTGGTTCCACAAGGGTATTGCGTCCGGTACGCAAGGTCTGTGCTGCATGGGCAGCGAGAGCTTTCCAGTGCAAGAAGCGGCGGTTCTTGCTGAGTGAAATCACGACAACGGGCCCGTTCTTGAGCGCGGCGCTGCAGACGAGGGACGGCAGCGAGACAAAGCGCACCCAGAATAAGCCGTCTGCGTCACTCACACAAGCGGGACGGGTACGCGACTGCATTCAAAATACGCGGCGCTGGTACAGGAGCGCGTTCTCCGTCCTCCCGGTACACGACCCTGCACGGACCGAGGTGCATCAGAAAGCAATTACTGGAATGATGACGGGGCACTCACAGAGACGGCGACGAATGGACGCCAGCCATCGCGTGCTGTCAGGGTGTCATCCACAACGACGTGGTGGCAGGCCCCGGTCCGCACGACCAGTCATTTGGTCATTGCAACAGTGCTCGGTGAGTGCATTATCACGACTACACGCGTCCGTGCTCACAATACGGACACCATCTTCTCCCGGGAGCCCTTGGATTGCCAGACACACGGCGGCGGCGGCAGTGGCGATAGCGTCGTGGTCGACACCGCTAGTGCACGCGTGAGATCTGCTGGGCGAGCAAGGTTAGATGGAGAAGACTGTAGGCGCACCACAAGACGTCCCCAGTTACGTGTCATCGCAGGGCACCTGTAGCTCGGAGGGTCGCATCGGGATCTCGATGTGACGAGATGGTATGTTCCGTCGGCGGAGGACGGGATGTCGGCACGGAGGTGTTGAGGCGGATTCGCGCCGCGCAGAAGCAGGCCGTTCAGTGACAGGACGGATCGACCGTGCTGCCACGCACAGATGAAACGTGTGGCATGAATTCTAGTGGATCTAAGGTCGGACGCGTACCTACTCAGGCTCGCGCGCAAGGTCGGGACGACGTGGCGAATGGGGATCTCTCGAGGACGCGGAGCGGCGGACCAGCAGAGCAACTGGTCTTTCTTCCGGACGAGATGCGCGCGCATACACCCTGCTCAATGGATGCTGACGAACGCATGGCGTCCAACGAGCGTTGCAGGTCGGTGTGTTGGCATCACGGGTGCTCAAATGGCGTGTATGGGAGCTGTATTAGCGAGGCAGGAGGAATGTAGGTGTACCGTGTGTCGAGTGCCGGGTGCTGTGCTCACCTGCAAGCGGTTGGAAACGGGGACGAGAGACGGTGGGAGCGATCGGCGCACCGGGCGTTGCTGGACGGCATGTGGAGGTGGTTTGGTACGCAGCGGGCAGCGGGTGCAGGGCGAATCGGAACAGAGGCCGATGCAGGGTCGTAGAGAAATGCGACAAAGCGCCAACGATAGCCGGATGACGGGCGACCGGACGTGAACGCGCTGACAGCAGGGTGAGGCAGCATATAAGAACCGGGTCCGGGAAGGGAGAAAAGACGTGGTGTTGAGGACGGCGGGGGATGAGATGAGCGGATGGAACACGCGTACGCTTCTGCAGACAGAGGGTTGGCTGTATGCACCCCGTCGAGGACTGCGTTGGAGCGCGCATCCGAGCGAGCCAGTGGGCCAGCAACATCGTGTCGTAAGTCGAGAGCGAGGACGTCCACGACGTCGGCATCTCCAACTGCCTTTGTGCGGGAGCCGCGTTGTGTTGGGCGAGCTTGGTTAGATGAATGGTGACGGCGGAGGCAACTGTAGGCGCACCACGAGACGTCCTGGTTACCAGTTACGTGTCGTCGCGGTGGACCGGTAGCTCGGAGGGACTCGTAGGGATCTTGAATTCACAGATGCGCTCGACGGACGGAGGGCGCCGGCTGGGATTGGCCCACGGACGCGAAGCTAGAGAGCAGGAACATGGCCGCAAGTATAGGTTAGCACACATTCTGATAGACGCATGTTCGGATGCGTACCGACCCGGGTTGGTGGGCAATGTGGGGACGAGGAGAGGCTGACCAGCAGCGCAACTGGTCTTGATGTATGCGCGCATGCGGTCAGCTGTTGACGTGTGGGAGCTGCTGGGGCGCTAGGCCGGGCGAATGGATTGCTCGCGGACGATGCCGGCTAGCAGAGGCACTGGATTCGCTGTATGCACGCATACAGTGACCTAACAGTGAATGCCTGGTACGGTACCAGCGGCTGGGACAGCGGGAGTAAAGGCGAGGGATGAGATGGGGACGAGCGAGGGCTCGAGCGACCGGCACACTGGGCGTGGAGGGAGACGAGGCGCCAAGGGCGAGCGGAGGACGTGAACGCGATACGGGCGGGTGAGGCAGCATACAAAAGCCGGGCGCTGAGGTGGTGAGGCCTGACGCGGCGGCGTCGAATGCAGCTGGAGACGAGGTGAGCGGATGGAGCACGCGGAGAAGAAAGACGAGAAACGGACGCGGCTGGAGGGTGGCTGTATGCACCCAACTGCGTTCGAGCGCGTGTCCAAGGCCGTGACGGCCGTCGAAACCGAGCGAGCGAGCGAGCCTGTGGGCCAAAAATAGCGCGAGAGAGGGAGCAGACGAGGGAGCGGACGACACAAGCTGGCTTCTGCGCGCGGGAGCTGTCTGGGTGCCCAGGCACGCCTGCTGCGTCATCGAGCACCCCCGGCGCCTCCTCCGATGCGCAAAGCAGGGAGATCCGAGTCCGCTCCGGGATCGGCACCGAGTCACGACCACGCACATCACGCGCTCGCGCTCGCCACGACGCTCACGATGCCCACAGCGCTCGCGATGTACTCGTTGCTGGCAACCGTGGTGACCTTGAAAGCCACGGAAGATGGTATGCTCTTCGACGCCCATCTCTCCCGGGCTCAACACAGCGCCGCCCTCCCTGGCTGTGATCTCCTGTGCCAAGTCCACACTCCATGTCCCCCGCGTCCCACCAGGTTCTACTGGTCGACGAGATCCTGCGGATCATCATCGACGCGCTCGTAACCTACGACTGGGCACGACCGACACGGGATGGTTATGATCGCGCGAGCCGCCAGCGTGCGCTGTTCAACCTCGCGCTCACATGTCGCGCACTCTCCGAGCCAGCAAGTGATGCGCTTTGGGAAGCGTTCTTCGACGGCAACGTCTGGACGCTCATCCGCATAGGCGGCTTCCGTCGTCTTCCCCCAGGACCCAACTGGCCCGTTACCTTACCTGTACGTGCGTCCGTCGTATGTCGTCCATCGTCTCATTCATCGCTCGCTGTTATCCAGAACAGTGGTCCACTGATCGCTGACGACTGGCCAGCGTTCCGCCGCTGTGCTGCGCGCGTACATCAAATCGGGTACTGGTCGGGGAAGGGGTCCAACAAGGACCTGGAAATCCGTCCTTCCGTATGGGAGATGCTCGCCGACAAGCTCGGCGGTGAGACTCTCTTTCCCCGCCTCAAGACCCTCTCGTGGCGGGCGACCTATCGAGAGGCCGAAGTCTACCGGAGATCGCGGGTGCTGCGTGTTCTGGTGTCCCCCTCTGTCACCACCCTTTGCTCAGCGCAGGCCAATTGGTGGCCAAAACTTCGGAGAGACCTGAGCATCATCGCAGAGCGCTGCCCACACCTCCAGGCCATCGACGTCCGACACATGAGCTCTCTCGACGCCGTCTCCCTCGCCGCCTGCCGCGCCCTCCGCCGGATCGAAGTCGCCACGCTCACCGACAGCGCCCTCTCGTGCCTCGCGCACCTCGCGCACCTCGACGCCCTCCTCTGCCGCCACCTCAAGCCGTTCGAGCACCCCGAGCCCCCGCCGCTCTGGCCGTCCCGCGCCTTCCCCCGCCTCCGCGCCTTCTCGCTGCTCGTCTGCCCGCCGCCCGCAGACCTCGCTCCCCTCTGGGCCGCGCTCGCCGCCGCCCCGTGCGCCGCCGCGACGCTCCCCACGCCGGCGCCGCTCCCCGCGCTCTGCGCCCCGCACGCCCGCTTCGGCGCGTCCCTCCGCGCGCTCACCCTCGCGCTCGCCCCGGCCGCCCCGCTCGCCCCCGCGCTCGCGCCGCTGTACGACCTCCGTGCGCTCGAGTCGCTCCGCGTGGACGCGCCGATCGCCTCTCGGGACGCGGACGCGGCGCTCGTGCTCGCGGACGCGGACGTCGGGCGCATGGCCCGCGCGTGGCCCGCGCTCGTGCACCTCCGCCTCTGCGAGCAGCTCGCGCCCGCGTCCGAGCGCGCGCCGTCGGTGCTCGCGCTCGTCGGCCTCGCGGAGCACTGCCGCGCGCTTGAGGCCGCGCTTGTCAACGTCGCGGACGTGTCCGAGGCGGAGATTGCGCTACTGGAGGAGCGTGCCGGGGGCGGGGGGCAGCGGCAACTGGTGCAGTGGCGCTTGGCGGGGGCGCGGTGGGCGGAGAGGTTGAAGGTGGCGGACGCGGGGCGGCTGGCGCGCGCGGTGAGCGCACTGTTTCCGGCGCTGGAGGGCGACGGGGTGTTGTGCGCCTGGGAGCGGAGGGAGACACGGTACGAGAACCTGCCGACGTGGCGGGGCGCGACGCGGAACACGGCGGCGTATGCGTTTCTGCTGGAGCTGGACAGGATCCAGGCGGGGAGGAGGAGCGGCCGCGTGCGATCCTGACGACACCCCTATCCCCATCGTTTGTCCCGTCCCCCGACACTTTCAGCTATAGCCCACGAGCCGCTCGCACCAGGCTCCCCGGGTTCGCGTCGGTAGATGACCGTCCAGGTGTGCGTTGAATCCGCTCGTGGAAAACGCGGTGGTGGGCGCTGAGAGCCGCGGTCTGGAAGATAAGTGACGGGAGAAGTGGGGATGCACGATGCCGTGACAGCCACAAACTTGACGTTCGGGGCATTTGGAGAACTGGGCGATGACGAGTGAACAGTCGTCAGCGTACCCGTTCGAAGACGCTCACCATACTGTGTCAATGATGGACTTCGCAAAACGAGGCGATATTAGGCCTTGCACCCGTATGGCGGTGACGTCTCCGACTTCAGACCGTTCAGGTGGCGTGTACACCGCGATGTAGGGATCGCATCGGTCCACGGAGGACAACCTGTGATCGTGTTCAACATCTACACAAAGCACATATATGGATGAACGTTTGAACACTCACCTTTCCGACCCGATGCTAGCCAAACCGACCCATTCAAACAACGTCGACATCCGATCTTCGAAGGCCCCGTTGCTTTCGTCTTCTTCCGCTCCCAGTTGAGCGAAACCATGGTCTATCACGGGAAGATGTTTGCTGTGATGCTTCCGTACCACGGTCTTCACATCGCAACCAGCGCTCCCCTGTAGGGGTGACGCTCCCTCTGCTGCACAAAGGGCACAGTTCAGCGTCACGCCAAGAAGCACAGACGTCGACGTACCCTCCAGAAAATAATAAGCAATGTTCCACGGAGCTCGTCGTTGATCCCATTTCTCCAAAGCCGCCAGTTCTTTCGAACCGCAGAGAGTTACATCTCGTTTGGCAGAGTCCGCCTCGCGAAGAGAGAGTCGTATGACTGTTGCGCTGGAGTATGAGCATGGCGCTTGCTTGACAAGGAGAGGCGTGGCTCACGGTGGACGTCTTCGCAGTCCTTCCACGGCATACGCTTGCCGACGATGCCGAGGGTTTCAACTTGACGTTCGGGGCACTCGCGTGAATAGTCGTCGGCTCACCCAGTTGAAGACGCTCTTACCGGTGAGCGTCGTGGCAAGACAAGGAAAGTACCGCAGATAAAGCTGGGGATGGGGAGCATGATTGGTGCGCAGAGCGTCTTGCATGATTGGTGTGTAGAGCGTCTTACATGGTGAGCGTGTAGAGTGTCTTTCATGGTTGGTGTGCAGAGCGGGTGATTGGTGTGTAGAGCGTCCGGTTCGTCACTCGTGCACAGTGTCGCAATTACAGTCGATTCGTCTTGGGCGAACACCCCACGCATTATGTTTGCTCTAAAGTAACGCCATCGACATTTTCTAGTTCAACCCACTAAGCCGCAAGTCCAGCCGCCGACGCTTCGCAGCAACCGTCCACTGCGGACGTCGCCAAGTCCTCTCCATCGACCGTGCCGCCACTATCGGCGTCAGCTCCTCGTCCTCGTCCGACGTGAACTCGTCTATCGGATCGTCCGACAGCTCGTTCCCGTAGCTCTGCCATCGCTTCCGCTTCAAGTACACCGCCCACCGCACTTCAGCGTCCACCTCCGCCTCCATCTCGGGTGTCACCACTGCCTGCGACGGCCGTGGCTGCGGAAGGTACCCTGCCCCCGTCACCGGGCGGTAGTGCCTCTCTCCGACGTCGCTGCGCTGTGCACGGTTCCGGAAACCGCGGTTCAGACGGCCGGGAACCGCAGACATCGGGTTGGCCTCCGCTGCAGCCTTGTGTTCGTCCGTGGCCGGAACGAAGCGCATCTCGCCCTGTGTCCACGCGTGCGCGAGGCGTTCCAGGTTCTTCATGCCCCCCACGTTGCTCAGGTTGCAGAACGGGATGTCCGCCGGCCAACCCTCAAGGACCAGGTGGCATCGCTTGAAGACCTGCTTCAGGAAGTCGTCCACTGTGTACCGCATCGTGGCACCGGGCGTGTTCGACTTTGTCGCTGCCGTGCGGGGTCGCTTCAACACACAATCACAGCGCACATAAAGAGAACGGTGCTCACCCACGCTCTCGTTCATCTCCGCTCTCAGCCAGGCACGCACCTTGAACTGCCTTCTGGCATAGGTTACGATCCGGCCGGGACCGCTGGCCGTCTTGCTTTGAATGCCCGACATCGCAACGTGAGCCTGTCCGGGGTCAGTAAATGGAGCTCGTCGTATCTGGTGTACGTACCAGGAGGGAGCAGCAGCGAGTCGGGGTGGAAGCAGAGGCGGGAGCGAGAGAGGCCGTGTCTCGCTGAGTGCATTATCTGGTTCATTAACCATGTCACGCGTATACTGGCGCCATGCCGCACCCGATCCTATCAACGATCCGTCGCCGCTTGCTTGACGGAGCGCCGTATGCCAGACAAGTGAACATCTCGCGTGCAACCCGGTACCAACAGCTTGTGCACTTACTCTCGCCCACGGAGTTCCATGCACACTTGACAGGCTGATGCGCGGATCGGCGCCCACAGCCGCTCCGCAAAATATCTCCTGCACATGGTACCAGGCATTTGCCTGTACCAGGACCTTGTTAGAGAAAAAGAAACTCTGTGCTGAGCACTACACACACGCACCCGCTCGCTCGCTTCGGGATTGGTGGTAACGTCCGCCAGAACCCTCCGTCTCGGGGGCCGCGGCAGCGCACTCTGAAACACCGGTGACCATGGTGAGCACTGCGCCAGGGCTTACAGAAAGAACGCTTACTGGGGCCACAGCATCGGGTCTGTGGTGCACGCATACATGGATGCGATCTTGAAGCGGACTAGTCCGCGTCCTTTGGTTCATGCTGAGCACATCCGGACGACACGGTATGGAAGCGGTACCCTTGTACCGCCATGGCACATTGTTCGCACTGACAGTGGCCCCGGAGGGCCGGTAAACGGTGTCGTGATCCGCCCTTGGCAAGTGATCAGTAACTCCGTCCTTTGTCCACAGCAAAAACATATGACTTGCTCTATAATCGGGTGCGCACGGCGACCCACTGATGGAGCGACCTGCTTCCGTTGTGCGTGGTTGACGGCGTTCCCACACGCTCGCATGCCATGTTCAGATTACACGGTGGTACGTCCCTGCGGCACACGACCCGCACGGAGAGGAGCTCGTCAGCAAGCAATTATCGACCCGGTATGCGTCATGATCATGATGATGGGCCACTCACAGAACGACAACCCATCGTGCGTGGACAGCGAGCGTACCGAGCCGGCCGGGTGCTCCACGGCGGTGTTTGAGCAGGACGAGGCGGGCCCAGAGACCGAAGCTTCCCCGCGCTGTGGCGAATTAGATGAGTGCACTGTTCCGTCCTCCTTTCACTGTAACATGCGCCCACACGGCTAGCAGAGGCGCGGGACTCGGGGCCAACAATGTGCCATAGAGCGAAAACCACACCCGGTACGTCTGCGCGCGAGGGCTGTACCAGTGGCTCTACAGCATGCACATCGAAAATAGAACGCACACGACTGGAGCCGTGGCGTCGGGCCACCGGCGGATCGCGGCGGATGCGGCGGTCGCAGACACTCAGACGGCGCGGCCCTGCACGCACGCTGCCCCATTCATTTGCGGCGGGCGTGGTTCTGTAGGAATTTCGCAAAGCCCGGTACGTGAAGCCTGCGCTGCATCGACAACGAGAGGTTCTCCACTGCAAGAGAAGCCGTCCACGATAGTCAGCACCGAGCGAAAGAATCACTGCGACGACGTACGCGTTCTTGAGCGCAGCGCTGCAGACGAGAGCAGCAGCGAGACAAGGCACGCTCAGAATGAGCCGCTCGCATCGCTTCGCATGCGACTGGGAGGGGCACACTGCTGCATTCGATATGCGCAGTGCCGGTACACGACCCTGCACGGACCGGGACGGCGCATCAGCCAGCAATTAGTACCAGCCTGGTACGCGCGATGATGGGGAACTCACAGAGACAGCGACATTCTGACGCGGCGCCTCAGAGATGACGGCCGTCGCGTGTGTCCAGGTATTTCGTCCGCGACGATGTGGCAGAATGCCATGGACCTATGCATCGGAAAACCTGCCCTGGGCCGTGCGAGTCGTTCGTCGCCATCGGAGCAGTGCTCAGCGAGCACACTGCGCTCGATATTGTGACAATACGCGTCCGTACTCGTGATACGGACGGCATCTTCTCCGGGGAACCCTTGGAGTGCCAGACACAGCGGCGCTGAGGCGACAGCGAGAACATCGTGGTGGGTCCCTCTAGTGCACACTTGAACGACATTGGACAAGCCTGACGGGCACGAGAGGTCGCCGGGCGCCGAGGCCGCAGCTGTGGACACAGTGTCAGTGCAGCCAAACGGGAGAGGTAATTTAATCTCACTGTTAGGCGCAACGTAACCGCGCTCCGATCTTGTTTGAACGCTGCATGGATCGAGCACCGGCGTACCGGGAAAGTGGCAAAGGGCGGGCCTAGGCAAAAAACGGACGTCGGCACCGGACGGCGGCGCCAGCTTATGCTTGTACACATCCGCATCCACCTTCCATTTGCGGTTATCTGCCGAGAGCCGGCAGATGAGGCATGGGGTGAAACGCAAACCAGGCAAGCAGGATGAAGCCGACGCCGGCCGAGGGCGCAGTAGCCGGACTCCGTGTGGAAGATGTGTTTGAACTCGTAGAGAGTCATCGTGTGGTTCATTCTGCTGTCAGGCGCGGGTGCAAGAGGTTGGGAAGCACGGAGAGGAAGCACAGTGAGGGCGGAGGACGTACCGAGATTGAACCCCGGTACCGTATCCTTGGACATGTTGAACCAGTCCGGGGTCCGTACTGGGTTTCCGCTACGCGGTGCTTAGTCCGGACTCGGTCAAACGTGTTACCCCTCCGATCCTGATGTCCGCGACTATCACCGCACGCCGTGCTCGACGGTGGTGGACTGTGCCGCGTTCGATGAGAAGAAGCGGGTATTGAATGCATGGCGGGGCACCGCAGCTTGTCGGAGCGTGAGGCTTCTATTACTTGAAGCCCATAGTGCAGGTCGCTTCAAGAACCTCTGTGAGAGCGATGA